ACTGCACTCCAGCCTAGGCTGCAGAGTGAGACCCTATCTCAAAAAAAAAAGAAAAGAAAAAAGAAAAAGAAAAAGAAAATAAGGATAAAAACGTGATTTGGAGCCCTAACCAGGAGGCATTGATCTAAATGATTGGACCTGCTGCACACAAAAGTGCACTCCTACAAAGCAACAGATGGGAAATTTCCCAGGAATAAACTTGTTATTTTTTGCCAAGTCAAAAGTATGTAGTGTGCAAGCCCTGCTCTGGGAGTTGGGAGAACCAAATGACCTCCAGATGTTTGAAAAAGTTTTCTTCCCTGCTAAAAGCAGTCAAGTGTATTTGGCCAAAGGGCATCTAAAATGCTTTGGCTTCCAACTTGGAAGAATTGAGCTTTTTCCTCTAACTTTCCAGCAAAAGGGAAGGAAATGTTGACCCTAAAACCATATGAAGCTGAAGCTAGAAGACACTGTAGCAGTTGACCAGATCTCCATTCTTAAGTTCTGTATTGGCCTTTTATTTATATATTTGTCATTATTTTCATTAATTCAGTACAGTATAGACTGTTTGGGTTCAAATCTTGACTCTTCTACTTACTTGGTATGAGATACTGATTAAGTGGCTAAATCTCTCTTCAATTCTTAGAATCTGTGCTTCAGGTTTTTGGTGTGTAAAATGGTGATAGTGACACTTTCTCAGAGGGGTGTGGTAAGGATTAATAGTGTTGGTGGATGTGAAGTACAAGGAACATATTAATTGCTATGCAAATGTTCACTATATCAATACATGTGACTATTTTCTCCTTCTCCTTCCTGTCCCCCTCTCCATCCCCCTCATTTTCCTTGTTTAGTTGTCAAATAGTCAAATCCCATTTGGAATGCTGTCCCACCACTTTATTCTGCTTCATGGATGTTTCTGGGGGAGGGAAATTTCTGCAGTTGATGTGTGTTGAATTCTGTTTTCTGATTTTTTGCAATAACTCTGTATGGATCTGTTACTATTTTCCTTGTGCTGAGAGACAGTCTCACTCTTTCATCTGCCAGATATGGAAAATGAGTTCCCAAAAGGGAAAATGACTTGCCCAAGATCACACAGAGATAGTGAATAAACAAGTAACAGGTGGCTGGACGAGGTGGCTCATGCCTGTAATCCCAGCACATTGGGACGTCAAGGCGGGCAGATCACGAGGTCAGGCAATTAAGACCATCCTGGCTAGCGCGGTGAAACCCTGTCTGTACTAAAAATACAAAAAATTAGCCAGGTGTGGTGGCGTACGCCTGTAGTCCCATCTACTTGGGAGGCTGAGGCAGGATAATCACTTGAACCCGGGAGGTGGAGGTTGCAGTGAGCTGAGATTGTGCTACTGTACTCCAGCTTGGGTGACAGAGCAAGACTCCGACTCAAAAACAAAAAACAAAAAAACAAGTAACAGGACTGAGGGTTTCCGATGACCAGTCCAAGTCTTGTTCTGCTGAACACAGCGTCCAAGGACATTGACCTCAGATATTGATGTGATCTGAACCCCCTCCAAATTCTATTCACCTACAGGGAAGACTTGAACACCCTATGATTCCAAGTATTCTCTAATTGACATCTTCCCCTTCTAACAAAACTGCAAGCACTTCAAGGGGAAGGACTATGACTTGATTATTTTGGAATCTTAGTTATATGCTCAGCACTGTACCTCAAACTTTTGAGGGTAGGAACTACTGCCTATAACACCTTGGGTGACTAGGGGCAGATGCTCAGTAAATGGAACCAACTGCCCTGCCTTAAAAGAAAAAAAAAAAAAAAAAAACTGGGGAGGCAGGGAAGAGAATTATTATGTATTAAGAACTTATATTATCAGTCACTGTGCTGGGAATTTTCACTTTCATTATCCCATTTAATTCCCAGAATTCCTTTATGGCATCATCAATTTCTGGATTTTACAATAGGAAATTGAGGCTTAGAGAGGTAGGCAATTTACCCTGAGTCTCTTCACAAGTAAATGCTCAAGTGTAACGTTTCACTGGTGGGCTATAACCTTCTGGAATCCAATATCATAAACACAGAGTGAGAGAAAGAAGAGTCCTAATACTTTTCCAGAGGGTAAAATAATTTTTTATTCTCATTAGAAAACTATGAAGTTAGTTACATGAATTGTGAAAACATAAGTCATGGTTTTATTTGTTCTGTGACAGTGTGAAAAATGTACATTTTCATTAAGCTAGAAAAAGAATATAAGGGAAAATTGTGAGTATTTCAGTCTTGCTTATATCTTGCTCATAAAGAGAGACCTATCATTACCAAATCCAGGCAACCTGAACCCACCCTTTCTGCAAATGTTTTATCCACACTAGAATTTTGAATGGGAGACAAAAAGATAAGCAATAGGATTTATAATATGCAGAATGTGAATTTCATAACAGGGAAAGGCCCAGGTCTGAAAATTATTTAGTCCCTGTGCTAGGCTGGAAAACAGCCCCCTAGAGTCCAGGTCCTAATCATTGGAAACTGTCAATGTGATTCTATTTGGAAAAAAGGGGTTTTTTCATACATGATTAAAAATCTTGAAATGGGAGTTTATTCTGTATTATCTAGCAGGGCAGGCGGATCCTAAATGCAATTATAAATGTCCTTATAAGAGAAAAAGCAGACGGAGATATGACACATCCACAGAGGAGGTGATGTGAAGACAGAGGCACACACTGGAGTGATGCAGCCATAAGCCAAGGAATGCTAGGAGTCAGGAGAATCTAGAGAGGCAAGGAACGGACTCTACTTTAGAGCCTTTGGAGGGGGTGTGGCCCTTTCAAGAACTTAATTTTGGCCCAGTGAAACTGATTTTAGGCTCCTGACCTCCCAGACTTCAGGAAAATAAATTTCTGTTGCTTTAAGCCACTTGGTTTGGTTAATTTATTACAAGAATCACAGGAAATGAATACAGTGCTCCTGGGTTGTTATCCAGGTCTCAGCTTACTGGCATCTCCTTTCCCCTTCCATCTGGAAGCCCCAAGAAGAGTTTCTAAAAACATCCTAGGCCTGGCACAGTGGCTCACACCTGTAATACCAGCACTTTGGGAGTCCAAGACAGGCGGATCACCTGAAGTCAGGAGTTTGAGACCAGCCTGGCCAACATGGTGAAACCCTGTCTCTACTAAAAATATATAAATTAGCTGGGCGAGGTGGCATGTGCCTATAATCCCAGCTACTTGGGAGGCTGGGGCAGAAGAATCTCTTGAACCCAGAAATCAAAGGTTGTGGTGAGCCAAGATCCTGCCATTGCATTCTAACCTGGGCGACAAGAACGAAACTCTGTCTCAAATAAATAAATAAATCCTAATATTTACTAAGTGTCTCTTCTGCCAGACACTATGACAGGCACTTTACATGCAATAGCTCACCAAATCCTCACAATCCTATTAGGTAAGTACTAATATTATTCCCATTACGCAGATGGGATAACTGAGGCTCAGAGAAAAACTGGTGCGGTCATATCCTAACAGGCGATGAAGCTAGTATTTCAACTCAGGTCTGCCAAAATATAAAGCCCATACTTTTAGCCTCTATCATCTCAATCTCTCTGGGTTGTCAGGGATTTAATTCTATCAACAGATGGCATTTTGAGACACTTATTTGGGAAACATTTTCAGGGATGTGGGACCAAGGAGACCAACCCTAGGTGCACTCCAGGTTAACAAACTGAGCTACCACTTCCATCTGACTTTTTCAGCAAATAGAAGATAGCCAATCCTAGAATCATAGAAACCTCGACCGAAAAGGATCTCAGAGATCTGTTTGTTCAGACACCTTATTTTATAGACAAAGATGCTAGCCCCAGAGCAGAGGGTCACGTACACAGGGTATAGATGAGTAGCAGAGTTGTCATTAACTGGAGCCTAGATCTGACGTCAAATCCAGGGTTGGTTCTATGCATGTCACACACCAAAGTCATGTGTGTTGTTATAGAGCTGACCAAACTTTAGGAACTTGGGAATAAAGGAAATGGAGAAATGGATGACAAACCTCCTGAAAGCTATAGTGAAACTGAAAGCCCAGTGAAACTGATTTCAGCCTGCTGACCCCTCAAACTGTGAGAGAATTTCTGTTGCTTCAAGCCACTTGGTTTGTGATAATTTGTTACAAGAATCACAGGAAACAAATACAATGCACCTGTGTTATCTGGGTCTCAGCTTACTGTCATCTCCTTTCCCTTCCATCTGGAAGCCCCAGGGTATTCATTTGTACCTACGACATTCTACAGGGCCAGCAGGGATAAGCTTTAGGTTTGAGATAGAGACTGAAGGGACCATGATTGTGTAACCACATCCCAAAGTGGGAGGAGGGAAATATAAATTCCTAGAACTGAAGGGATTTTAGGAAACCTCAAGAGTGACAGCATCAGAAAATGCAAGAGGTGTGTGTATGTGTGTGCGCGCGCGTATGTGTAAGTTTTGGACAAATAAATGTAAATTGTCTCCTATACAATCAACAAGTAACTGATTTGGGAAACTCAATATCCCTAATAATGGTAAAGGCTAAACATTTTTCATGCTTACCCTGCTTCATGCATAATAAGGTTGCTGAAAAAAATGAAAGAATGCATTTTAAATGCTCCGTACAGCACAATATGTGCTCAATACATGCTAGCTGTTATTATTAAAACATTAATTAATAACAGTTGTAACAACAGCCACTATCTTTAAGACACGTTGATGTTTCCTAAACCGCATATCCCAAGATGGTCTTCGGCCGGGTTTCGCTGCCCATTGCATTCCGGGGCTTGTAGTCCGGAATTGAGAGGCTGATTTCTCAGCGCGCACGCGCGGTGGGGTGAATACCCGGAAGAACCCGCAGCAGCTCCCAGGATGAGCTGGCGGCAGTGGCTGCTGCTGCGGCGGCGGCGCTGAGAGGACGCGAGCTCTATGCCTTTCCGGCTGCTCACCCCGCTCGGCCTTCTGTGCGCGCTGCTGCCTCTGCACCATGGTGCGCCAGGTCCCGACGGCACCGCGCCAGATCCCGCCCACTACAGGTGAAGGAGGCCAGGTTCCCGCCCTTCCGTAGTTGGGGAATGGGAAGCGCGGACCGGGTCCCTTCTCTTTCCGTCCATCCCAAGACCCCTACCCGGACTTGCTCGAACCCCGCCGCTAGGTTCCGGGCATAAATCAGCCAGTGATTCCCACTTTCCGCCCTGTATCTTATTCTTTCCCCCCTTGTTTTTGTGTACTGGCCCCATGCCTCATTTCTTGTCCCTCGCCCAGGGAGCGAGTCAAGGCCATGTTCTACCACGCCTACGACAGCTACCTGGAGAATGCCTTCCCCTTCGATGAGCTTCGACCTCTCACCTGTGACGGGCACGACACCTGGGGCAGGTAGTGAGAGCGGAGGGGCAAGGGTTGGCCAGGGTCTGACTCTCTGGGCCTAGGCGGGCGGGTCAGCTGGGGCTGGTGGCTTCATGGTCTCCTCACCCGCACCGGAGAGCTCCCAGCTGAGCTGGAGCCCCGCTCCCCCCAGTTCTTGCTATCACCTCCAGAATTCACTTAGCCTCTCGCAGTGAAAAAAAAGTCCTGGATTAGCGGGGTGGGCTGGATCGCTGGGCACAGCCCCAGCAGTAACAGGCATCAGCTGTGGGGAATTTCTGGAGTAATGAGATATCGTGGAAGGGCACCAAGAATGAGAAAACCCAATGCTTTGATTGTGTAGGTGTGCAGACAGGTCCTGGAAGGGCTGTGACCCTCCCCAAACTTAAGTCTTTGTAGTTGATGTTCCCTGTGTCTGAAATACACTCTCCCCATTTTCCTCTCATCACCCGCTGCTGCTTGTCATTCAGGTCTCAGCTGAGTAGTCACCTCCTCAGCATCCGCTTCCCTAACCACCCACGACCCCCTTTTAAGTCACTTTCACAAGTTACCTGTTTTATTTTCTTTGTAGCACTTCTCACTCTCTGACGGTATCATTTTCACTTATTTGTCTGATTTGTCTTTCTCCTTTCCACTAGAATAAAAATCTATGAGAGCTGTAATTCACTGTCTTGTTCCTTGCTGAGTGAAGAATCATTGCTTTAGCTAAAGCTGGCATTGATTGAATACTATGCTAAACATTTTACTGTGTCATCTCCTATAATTATCTTAGTACCCCTAGGAGTTAGGTGCCATTATCCCTGTTTTACACACGAGTGTGCTAAGGACGGGAGAAGTTAAATAAACTTGAAACTTGCGCTGATTTTTATTTTTTTTAAGTTGAAACAAAGTAAATACAAATGGCAAATTCAAGTGGTAAAAAATTATATACAGTAAATATCTCCCATACCTTAGAATTCCAACTGTTAACTTTCCTTTGTGTCTCTCCAGAAATATTCTTGGTTTATACCATTATACATATAAATGTGTATATGTGTGTCTTTTTAAAATGAACTTCTTAAAGGCATAATTTACACATAATAAAGTACCCCTTTTTTTGTTTTTACTTTTTGAGCCGGAATTTTGCTCTTGTTACCTAGGCTGGAGTGCAATGGTGTTATCTTGGCTCACTGCAACCTCTGCTTCCCAGGTTCAAGCGATTCTCCTGCCTCAGCCTCCCAAGTAGCTGGCATTACAGGTGACCGCCACCATACCCGGGTAATTATTTGTAGAGACCGGGTTTTGCTATACTGGCCATGCTGGTCCCAACTCCTAACTTCAGGTGATCCACCTGCCTCGGCCTCCCAGAGTGGTGGGCATTACAGGTGGGAGCCATTGTGCCCGGCCTACACTCAGTTTAAGTGCATAGAAACCACCATTACAGTCAAGATAGGGAACACTTGTTACCTTTAAAAGTTCCCTGTGGCCCTTTATAGTCCATCCCTGCACCACTGACCCTAAAAATTGCTGATCTGCTTTCTATCAGTATGTCTCTTTTTGAAACATAGATGGAAATATACTAAACCACCTTGTCTTTTCATTAAAAACAATTTGAATATCTTTCCGTCAGCACATAGAAGTCATGATACAATCTTTTTGATAACTTCATAGTTTTCCATGGTTTATAACACAGTTTAATCACCCAGTGGATAGTTGGGTTCTTTTTAGCCTCTTGCTTTTCTAAACAATACTGCCATGAACACTTTCAAACAGCTGTTCACTGTGGGGTAAATTTCTAGATGTGAAAATTGGTGAAAAGCCTGCGCTTTAAGCTATAATCTTATACTGCCTCCCAATGGTAGAGAAGAATGCCAGAATACAGGTGATGTATTTAATTACAGTTGAGCTATATCAGCCCAACCTCCCAGGTGCATTAAGTGGGTCAGAGTGCGATTTTCACTATGGCTTCTCTGTTGTGACTGTAAGTGGGACAGGCAGAGGCTTTTCTTTGCCTCATTTAGTTTTAGGGGGATCAGATCTAGGGCAGCCATAATATCTGGTATTTGATTTTTTTTTTTACTAAGCAGCTGGGATTTCTGTCTTTTTGCAGTTTTTCTCTGACTCTAATTGATGCACTGGACACCTTGCTGGTAAGTATCTCGTCTGTTTCTTTTCCTTTCCACCATTACATAACGAACATTCTTCCTCTTTTGGCAGCTTGACTGTGGGTAAGAACTGAATTCCTCTCCTAGGCCTTTTATTTGCATCTCATGATTCTGAACCATCAGGCTGTGGTTGCCTAGCTAGATAGAGAAAAATGAACTGCAGAGCAAGACTCTGTCTCAGAAAAAAAAAAAAAAAAAGAACTACAACTTATGCAGGTTCATTTATTTAGCAAACATTTATAGAGGACCTATTATGTACAGAGAATTGTGATAGGCTTGTATAGTTCTGTGGGGGATACAGACTTTGACATCCTCCTGTTTTCAGAGGCGTACATTCTAGGGGCCATATTCAGTGATAATAAAATGATATCAGGCTGAGGACGGTGGCTCATACCTGTAATCCCAGCACTTTGGAAGGCCGAGGCAGGTGGATCACCTGAGGTCAGGAGTTTGAGACCAGCCTGGCCAATATGGTGAAACCCTGTCTCTACTAAAATATAAAAAATTAGCCGGGAATAGTGGCACATGTCTGTTATCCCAGCTACTGGGGAGGCTGAGGTAGGAGAATTGCTTGAACCCGGGAGGCGGAGGTTGCAGTGAACCGAGATCACACCATTGCACTCCATCCAGCCTGGGCAACAAGAGTAAAACTCCATCTAAAAAAAAAATTGAATTAAAATAATAATAATAAAATGATATCAGTGACTAGTTAGTGTGTTTGTGTAGAGCTTAGTACAGACATGTATTATCTTAATTCTTCCAACAACTTCTTGAGGTAAGTACCTTTACTCCTTCTTATGACTAAGAAATCTGATGCTTACAGCTGGGCACAGTGGCTCATGCCTGTAAATGTCAGCACTTTGGAAGGCCTAGGCAGGTGGATCACTTGAGCACAGGAGTTCAAGACCAGCCTGGGCAATATGATGAAGCCTCGTCTTTTCCAAAAATACAAAAAATTAGGCATGGTAGCACGCATCTATTTGGGAGGCTGAGATGGTAGGATTGCTTCGGCCAGGGAGGCAGAGATTGCAGTGGGCCTAGATTGCTCCACTGCACTCCAGTCTGGGTGACAGAGCAAAACCCTGTCTCAAAAAATAAAAAAAAACCCTGATGCTTAGAAAGGTAAAAAGGGCCAGGCGTGGTGGCTCATGCCTGTAATTCCAACACTTTAAAAGGCCAACATTGCTTGATCCCTGGAGTTTGGTGCTGTGGTAAGTTGTGATCACACCACTGCACTCCAGCCTGGGCAACAGAGCAAGACCCTGTCTCAAAAAAAAAAAAAAAAAAAAGACTTGGCCTGGTTCAGGTCAAGTACCCACTCTACAGCTAAGGGATAGGATCAGCCTCTCCCAAACCACAGGAGTGACTACTGGGGAAGAGTGATTCCTGGAGGGCAAATTGGGATGTTATTATCAAAAGAAGAGAGATTGAGATTGCATTTGGCTAATAGTTTAAATAAAGAGGGTTTATTTTCTCAAGTAAAAGAAAGTCTAGAGGTAATTTCTATCATTGAGTCAGCTACTCAACTGTGTCATCAGAGACCAGGCTCTTTGTAGCTTTCCATTCTAGTATCCTTAGTGTTTTGGCTTTTATTCTCATGCTTAGTGCTTCATGGTCTCACATAGCTGCCATAGCTTCAGAAATTGAGTCTGAGTTCAAGGCAGAAAGACAGACTAAAAGCCACATTAGCTGTGTTTGTTCCTTGGTGTTAAGAAAACAGAAGCCTTCGCAGAAGTGCCCCCAGTAGACTTCTCAAGGGTCAAAAATTGGCTGGGTAACACAATCAACTCTAGCAGCAAAGGAGGCTGAGAATGCATCTGGGTTTCCAACCTCTGGTAAGAGGCCATGAGGTAAAGAGGGTAGGAATGAATTAGTCTTGGGCCAACCAAACTTCATGTTTTCCACAAGGCTGAACGTGACAAGACAGGGTTAAAAACAACTGATACCTACTGCAAATGTGGACCTAAGACTTCTTTGTGTAGTTTGCATCTTTGTATTGTGTCCATTTAAATGACTGCATCGGGACTCTTAATTGGGACCTAGGAACTGACTTAACCAGTCTCTTGATATGGAATCTCTGGATGATTTCTAGCTCTCAGTGTTTTCTTCTGCTGTCTGTCACCAATCCTAGGACAGAAACTGGAAGTCTTAAGTGGAATTAGTGAGGGCCACATCAACATAGGATCCCAGACTCTGAATCTGCCTCTACATATGTAAGAGAGCCTCATTGTCAGGTCTCTTTTTTATTTCCAGATTTTGGGGAACGTCTCAGAATTCCAAAGAGTGATTGAAGTGCTCCAGGACAACGTGGACTTTGATATTGATGTGAACGCTTCTGTGTTTGAAACCAACATTCGAGGTGAGGGCTGCTCTCTAGGGACTTTAAAAAAAAAAGAGGGAGAGAGAGAGTGTGTGTGAGGTTGCTTCTGTAAACCAAGAAGTGGTAAATAGGATTTTAAGTACTGACCATGCCAGGACCCTTGGCCGAAACCTCTGATCGACAGAGCTCTTCTTCCCTCCTGGAGGGTGAAGTGGGGAAGTCTCAGGATTCCCCCATCAGTTTCAGATATGAAAGTGAACAGGAGACTAAAAGACTGGGAAGAAATACACCAGAATACTCACCTCTTTAATGTGCATTTGATACTAGGCACATAGCTATGAACAAGAAAGATGTGATCCCTGCCTTCTTGGAACTTACTGTCTGTCCGATCAAATTTTCTACAATGATGGAATTTTTTTTTTTTTTTTTTGAGATGGAATCTCTTTCTGTTGCCCAGGCTGGAGTGCAATGGCATGGTCGTGGCTCACTACAATCTCCACCTCGCAGGTTCAAGCGATTCTCCTGCCTCAGCCTCCCAAGTAGCTGGGATCACAGGCATGCGCCACCATGCCTGGCTAATTTTTGTATTGTTAGTGGAGACGGGGTTTCACCATGTTGGCCAGGCTGGTCTTGAACTCCTGACCTCATGATCCACTTGCCTCAGCCTCCCAAAGTGCTGGGATTATGTGAGCCACCATGCCTGGCTGGAAATGTTTTATATCTGTGTTTGTCCAATATGGTACCCATTAACCACATGAACTATTGAGCATTTAAAATGTATCTATCTATTACAACTATGGAACTGAATTTTAAATTTCATTTAATTTTAATGATTTTAAATTTAAATATTCACACATGGTTAGTGATTATTGTATGGACAGTGCAAGTCTAGGGCATTAATCTTCTAAACTTGGCTGCCCGTAGGAACCACTTGCGACCTTTTAAAAAATTCAGATGTTGAGGGCTCCACCCTAAACCGAATGAATTGGAATCTCTGGGTTGAATCCCAGAATCAGTATTTTTAGCAGACTTCCAGTGATTCTTGTGAAGCTACCACAGCCCTTATTTGCACTGAACCTCTAGACCACTGGCTTAACAGCTGTCACCTCTGGATAGCAGGGTTCTATTTTTCCCCATTATTTTGTATGTTTTCTGCAATGAAACTTATATTCCAGATATCCATAAAAGTTTAAAAAAGAGAACAGAGGGACAATATGGTCTAAAATCCTGGTTTAGGAATCCGGCATGAGTTTGAGGCTGTGCTTGTTGCTCTGTCTCCCAGCTTCTGAGCTCAGTTTGTCATCCGTGAATGAAGGTCATTCTTATACCTTCATTTCTGATATGAATATAATTGATACCAGCTTTCTTTTGGTTGACATTTTCCCATGTATCTTTTTCTATCCTTTCCATCTGTCTGTAGTTTTATGATCAGATACATCTTTTGTAAATAGTGTATTGTATTTTGTTTATCTGTTCTGACAGTCTTTAACTGAAACATTTAATCCACGGACATTTACTGTAATTACCCATATATTTGCACTCATTTCTACAGTTTGTGCTCTCTGTGCCATCTTTTTTTTTTTTTTTTTTTTTTTTTTTTGAGATGGAGTCTCACTCTGTCGCCCAGGCTGGAGTGTAGTGGCAAAATCTCACTGCACCTGCAGAGAGGTTGCTTACTGCAGCCTCTGCCTCCTGGGTTCAAGTGATTCTCCTGCCTCAGCCTCCTACCCTCCTACGTAGCTGGGATTATAGGTGCTTGACATCAAGCCTGGCTAATTTCTATATTTTTAGCAGAGGTGGGGTTTTACCATGTTGGCCAGGCTGGTCTCCAACTCCTGACCTGAGGTGATCCGCCTGCCTCGGCCTCCCACAGTGCTGGGATTGCAGGCCTGAGCCACCGCGCCCGGCCTTTTGCTATCTTCTTTATATTCCTTTTTTCTGTCTTTTCCATGCCTTCTTTAGACTGTCCCCCGCCATTCCATTTTCCTCTTACTAATGTGGAAGTTATGCATAATATCTAGCTTTTTACATAGTTTTCTGAGCAAATTTAACAAGCATAACTTATCAAAGTCTAAATTTAATGAAAATCTTTGTTCTCCTTCTGAATAAAACAAAACCTGGCTCTTAGAGAACATCCTGACCTATGTGCTATAGTTCTATGTTGTAGTTTTTGTTTTAAACCCTCTATACATTATACTTATTGTTCCGTACTGTTGAAGTTTTGCGTTTACACATATATTTACCACTTTTTGATTTGAAACCGAGTCTCACTCTGTCACCCAGGCTGGAGTGCAGTGGCACGATCTCCGCTTACTGCAACCTCCACCTCCTAGGTTCCAGCGATTCTCCTGCCTCCTGAGAAATTGAGATTACAGATGTGCACCACCACACTAGGCTAATTTTTGTGTTTTTAGTAGAGATAGGGTTTCACCATGTTGACCAGGCTGGTCTCTCACCCCTGACCTTGAGTGATCCACCTTCCTTGGCTTCCCAAAATGCTGGAATTATAGATGTGAGCCACTGTGCCCAGCCTATTTACCACTTTTCTACTATCCTTTCTTTTCATGACTCAGACCTTCTCTCTAAAGGATTTCCTTTAGAATGTCCTGTAATGCAGGTGTGTGCTTGGCACACATTCCCAGGTTTTGTTTATATGAAAATGACTTTATTCCACCGCCTTTGTTTGACCTTTGGGTGATATTTTTGCTGGGTGTATGGTTCTAGGTTGATGGTTACTTTCTTACTATGTTGAAAAATTTTTCCATTTTCTTCTGATTTCATTATCGTTAAGAAGTAATCTGTCAGTTGTTCTTTATAGATATCTTGTTTTGGTTTTCACTTTGGCTGTCTCCTCCTTTTAAAAACTTTTCGTTATGGAAAACTTTCATTATGGAAGACATAAAAGTAGAGAAAATAGTATAATGAACTAGATGTGCCCTTCACCCAGCTTTAATTATTATTTACACAGATTCTGGCTGCATTCAAGATCTTTTTTCCCTTTGTTGTTCTGCAGTTTTACCATAATGTACATAAATGTAGATTTGATTTCATTTCCTTCCTTCCTTCCTCCCTCCCTCCCTCTTTCCTTCCCTCCCTCCCTCCCTCCCTCCCTCTCCTTCCATCTCTCCCTGCCTTCCGCCTCCCCCTCCCCCTGCCCCTCCCTCTCTCTCTCTCTTCTTTTCTTTTCATTGCCCAGGCTGGAGTGCAGTTGTGTGATCTCAGCTCACTGCAGCTTCTCCCTCCCAGGTTCAAGTAATTCTCCTGCCTCAGCCTCCCAGGTATCTGGGATTATAGGTGTGCACCACCACACCCAGCTAAGTTTTTGTATTTTTTGTAGAGACAGGGTTTTGCCATGTTGACCAGGCTGGTTTTGAACTCCTGGACTCAAGTGATCCACCCACCTCAGCCTCCCAAAGTGCTGGTATTACAAGCGTGAGCCACCATGCCCGGCCTACATAGGGACCTTTCATCAGACTCCCACTTGGGGCAGGTCTGGCCTTTGTCTCCTATTCCCCCTCTGCAGGAAGGAGGGGAATTTTGAAGCTTAGGGTCACCAGTTGTTTTCAGCGACAGGGCCACTCAGGATATCGGTTTAGCTATATTTCCAAGTACAGAACCTTCACGTCTTTTTAAAAGTTCTAAATATTGCATAATAAGTTGAAATAGATAAATGAACAAAATACAGGTAATAACCACCATTGCCCCTTTCCCCCAGGTATGACAGGTGATTGGGAGACAGACAGAGTGACAAATGGAATGAGTATGGGCTTTGGAATCAAAGATACCCAGCCCTACCACCTACTAGATGGGAGGCCTGGGGCAAGTCACTTTTTCTCATGGAACCTCAGTATCTTCATCTGACAAGGAGGTAGTAGTACTTAGTTAGTGCTTAGTACACAATAGGGACGTAAAAAAAATAGCCACTGTTCTTGTGATGCACCAAAAGAAAAAAAAAAACCCATAAACTTAACACTGTATAAATGTGTGGGATTAAAGGACTCTTTTTTCACTAGGTGGCTCTAGCTCCTTCCCAGTGAGCCACCCCAATGGAGTGAGGTTTTTTTGTTTTCGTTTGTTTTTACCCATGAAATAGCCTCAGGAGGTCCTGAGAACATGTGCCATCCCCCCAACAGAGTGTTTAGTTTTAACTCACATGGGGAAAGCTTCTTGGTCCATTGGTCTTTCCCTTTGGACTGTGACATTTGCTTTCTGTGCCATCCGTAGTGGTAGGAGGACTCCTGTCTGCTCATCTGCTCTCCAAGAAGGCTGGGGTAGAAGTAGAGGCTGGATGGCCCTGTTCGGGACCTCTCCTGAGAATGGCTGAAGAGGCAGCCCGAAAACTCCTCCCAGGTAAGACCCACAGAGATGGGAGAGAGATGAAGTCCAGTAGGTCTTGCTTCCCTTGCTGAAGATGAGAGTGCCAGTGCTGAATTAATTCCTGGTATTTCTCACCACGTGTATTTGGTATTTCTACCCCCAGGCACCCACCATGGAAATCAGGAGCATCCTGGGCATTTAAGGGCCTGCTGGGGCCCTGTCTCGGGATGTATGAATTGACCTTATTATTGTTTGCAGGGGATGGTGAAGGTGGCAAGCCTGGTGGGTGGAAGGCCATTGTCCTTACTTTGAATGAGCCCATTTGTCCCCACCCAAGTACTACAGTTATTCCACCCACTGCGGGAATAACAGCGGCCCAGGGAAGGGTGTTAGTGTGAACATCAACAGCCCTGGATTTTTTTTTTTTTTTTTTGAGACAGAGTTTTGCTCTTGTTTCCCAGGCTGGAGTGCAATGACACAATCTTGGCTCACTGCAACCTCCACCTCACAGGTTGAAGGGATTCTCCTGCCTCATCCTCCCGAGTAGCTGGGATTACAGGCATGTGCCACTACATCTGGCTAATTTTGTATTTTTAGTAGAGACAGGGTTTCTCCATGTTGCTCAGGCTAATCTTGAACTTCTGATCTCAGGTGATCCGCCTGCTTCAGCCTCCCAAAGTGCTAGGATTACAGGTGTGAGCCACCACGCCCAGCCCTGGATTTTAGACTCAGCTCTGCCAGCCAACGTCTTGACCAGGCCACTTTTTCTCTTTTTCACAGTTTGTTGTTTGTTTGTTTGTTTGTGATAGAGTCTCGCTCTGTCCCCCAGGCTGGAGTTCAGTGGACCTATCTCAGCTCACTGCAACCTCTGCCTCCCAGGTTCAAACGATTCATCTGCCTCAGCCTCCCTAGTAGCTGGCATTACAGGCGCCCGCCACCATGCTTGGCTAATTTATGTATTTTTAATAGAGACGAAGTTTCACCATGTTGGCCAGGCTGGTCTCAAACTCCTAACCTCAAGTGATTTCCCGTCTTGGCTTTCCAAAGTGCTGGAATTACAGGCATGAGCCACTGTTCCCAGCTTCTCTCCACAGTTTAATTTCTCCATCTATTGAATGAGAATCATAATTTCCATCTCACTACCACATTGGGTTTCGGGGAGGCTAAAATGAGGTCAGGAAGGAGAAACTGTTTAGAGAACCTCCAACACTTTTAAAACGAGAGGGATTTGTTTTGTGGCTAATCCGTGTCCAGGGCTGCAGGCCAAGCCTTCATGTTTTTGTCTAGTTGGGCAGTAACACCAGGCTCAGGAGCATCAACTGGACACTCTGTTCCCTTCAGGGTGTGGTGGAGGCTCTGAGGACTGTTCACACCCAGACACGTCACCCTGTGCTTTCCACCAGCCTCTTGGCCATCTCACTTATTTATCCCTTTCTTTTTTTTTTTTGAGACAGGGTCTTGCTCTATCGCCCAGGCTAGAGTGCAGTGGTGTGATCATGGCTCACTGCAGCCTCGAACTTCTGGGCTCAGTTGATTCTCCCACCTCAGCCTCCTGAGTAGCTGGGATTACAGGCACACACCACCACGCGTGGCTACCTTTTTTTTTTTTGTAGAGATGGGGTTTCGCCATGTTGCCCAGGCTGGTCTTGAAATCCCGGGATCAAGTGATCTACCTGCCTCGGCCTCCCAAAGCGTCGGGATTACAGGCGTGAGCCCCCACACCCGGCCTTTTTATCCCTCTCACGCAGCACTTGCCTCTGCTTCTGGGGAGAGCTGAAGATAGTGGGTGAGCCGGGTTCAGGTCTCATTCATGGCTCATGGCGTGAGCATCTTCTTGCAGACATTGTGTCCTGTGTGATTCATCCTTGGAGGAAACCCTGGAAACTCTGCCTAGCTGCTCCTCCTTTATTATTTACTTATTTTTGGTCATTGGTCATTTTATTAAAAAAGGTCAAGAAACAGGATTTTGTCCCTCCCCTTCTTTTTAATACGGCCTGACTTTTCTGAAATATTCCTTAGAGACCTTCCTGGTTGCGGCTCACTCTCCCATTGGTGCCTCCCAGATAGCAAGTGTCTTATCTGTGGCAGACAGAGTTGCTAGACCCTGTGGTTCTTGGAAGTGTCGAGACCTTTGTTCGCAGTTTGGTGACGCACAGGCTGCTCTAGAGTTGTTTGACTTTAGGCTCAGAGAGGAAATCTCTGCCTCTGACTGGTTGTCCAGTTCTCATCTTGAATCAGAAGGCACGCGAGTGGGGAAGGGAAAGAACTGGACTGGGGCTAGGAGTGGGCATGGGGCAGGTGTTACCATCCCAGCTCTGTTTGACTCTATGTGGCCTTTAGCTGAATCACCTTTTTTTTTTTTTTTTTTCCTGAGATGGGGTCTCCCTCTCTCACCAAGGCTGGAGTGCAGTGGCTTGGTCTTGGCTCATTGCAACCTCTGCTTCCCAGATTCCAGGGATTCTCCTGCCTCAACCTCCTGAGCAGCCAGGATCACAGGCATGCGCCACCAGACCCACCCAATTTTTGTATTGTTAGTAGAGACAGGGTTTTACTATGTTAGCCAGGATGGTCTCGATCTCCTGACCTCGTGAGTTGCCTCCCAAAGTGCTGGGATTTTGGCCTCCCAAAGTGCTGGGATTACAGGCATGAGCCACTGCACCCGGCTGAGGCTGACGGAATCACTTCCTTACAGGGATGGTTTTCCCTACCTGTAAATTGATGGCAATACTCTATCAGTGGCTTAGTGGTTGATATCGTGTTTTGCTTCCTTTTAAAAATAATTTAGCCCCTATACTCTTTATTTAAAGCAGGGATCTTTATTTAAAGTCTATGAATGGCTTTGTTTATTTTTATTATTACTTGGAGACAGAGTCTTGCTCTGTCACCCAGGCTGGAGTGCGGGGTGTAATCTCAGCTCACTGCAGCCCCTGCCTCCTGGGTCCAAACGATTCTCATGCCTCAGCCTCCCTCCCAAATAGCCGGAATTACAGGTGTGCCCCACCACGCCTGTCTAATTTTGTGTATTTAGTAGAAACAGGGTTTTACCATGTTGGCCAGGCTGGTGTTGAACTCCCGGCCTCAAGTGATCCTCCTGCTTGGCCTCCCAAAGTGCTGGGATTATAGGCATGAGTCAAAAGTCTATGAATGGCTTTGAACAGGGCTTACTCTTGTCATTGTGCCACAGCCCCACCATTTTCTGTGGCTTAAACCTTGCCTGCGTCACAATAACTTACCTGCTGGGGCTTGGAAGGCATAGGGTAAAATAAATAGAAGTAGCTAAAGCACGCTAGCTAAAGTGAGTGTGTGTGGACCACAGCCTGCTCCATGCCCCTTATCATGGGCGGGAACCCAAGGGTCGTGCAGAGCAGTGTTTGGCAGCATCTGGGCGGGGTGGCTGTTCAGGGCCCTCCAGTTATAACAATTACTCTTCTCTGTCTCAGACCCTAGCGGGGCACCCAGGAGTAAGAGAGAAGTGCTGGCTAAGGTCTCAGGCTTTGGGCATATATCAAAACCGTCCCTGTCCCCCTGCTTCCGTCTGGGATCATCATTTTCCAATTGTTCAGCCTTTCAGACCCCCACTGGCATGCCATATGGAACGGTGAACTTCCTTCATGGTGTGAACCCAGGAGAGACCCCTGTCACCTGTACGGCAGGGATTGGAACCTTCATTGTTGAATTTGCCACCCTGAGCAGCCTCACTGGTGACCCCGTGTTCGAAGATGTGGCCAGAGTGGCCCTGATGCACCTCTGGGAGAGCCGGTCAGATATCGGGCTGGTAGGTTCGCAGCTGCCCTTCCTGTTTGAGTCAAGTCTGCCGCCTTGGCCCCTGCTTATGAGGCCCCAGGCTCTGAGCAATAAGTTGCAATCAAGCCAAGGAAAACTCAGGGTGACCTTGGGAGTGGCCCAGGGATTGGGCTCAGGACACCAAAAATAGACCAAGCCTCCAATTCAAGTTTGGTTTGGAGTGGGGAAGAGAGTGGGAAAGCACATTTCTCTGGTAAGGAGCGGGAGCTGCATTAAGCTATGACCACTTGAGATTCTCATTTCTAGGAAGAGGGTCATATGTTTCCTGCTCCTGACTCACTTAGTGACTTTAGATCATCAGCTCATCGGGCCTTCATTTTTAGTATCTATCTGTATTTATAAAACTGTGTTTCTTAGGACACCATGTCTGAGAGATACTGAATGGCTGTTGCATGAAAAAATAAGTCCTGGCCAATTAAGTTAGGGGAATATTACAATATCCCTCCCCTTTTTTGGAGCGTCACAATGCACATGAGCAGAATTAAAATCTTCTAGTGAAGAAATCCATTCAACTTTGCTTAACATTTCCCAAACTTATTTAACACCAGAACCTCCCTTTATCTTCCAGTCCCATTAACCCATGACCACACTTTGGACCAGATGATCTCTAAGGTCAGTTTCAGCTTCTAAATGGGATAATCCAATGAGATTAACAGTAATTGAGCCAGAGCCATCCAGGACGTAACAATGGATTTACTCAGAACTGGATTCAAGCCCCGGCCTTGCTGCATCGAAACTGCAGCAAGTCACTGAGCAAGTCACTCAACCTCCCTGGTCCTCTGTTACTTCTGCAGTAACGTTAATGGATTAATACCAATTTTACTGAGTCACTGACTTAGGAAGACTCCGTTCAGGTCTAGGCACATTTTATGCGGAGTCTGGTGCTAATTCAGCTTGAAAAGTGAAGCTTGTGTGAGGACCCCTTGAAAATCCCTTAAGCAGGCGCCCAACCTCCCGGAGGAGACCTGTAATAAATCTCTTAGTAAGTCTAACTCAGGCAGGTTTTGCTCCAGCAGTGGGACTGTAGTGGACTCTGTTGGTGCTGTGCCCATATCCTCTCAACTCTTACCATTTCCATGTACACTGGCCAGTCTTCCAGCTGCCATCACCTGGGCCTCTTTGCCTGTGGGTCTCCTCTGGTGCCTGGAGCCACTCTGATTGTCTTTAGCTGACAAGCAGAGTGGCTCCAGGCACCAGAGGAGACCCACAGGCAAAGAGGCCCAGATTTAATGCTACCCATGGGTAGCTCTGTAGCCAGTGACTGATACCGTTGGGAGTTGGTGATAAGCATTCCAGCTCCCTGCCCCTTGGGTGGGATCACTCCAAGGCTCGAGCTCTACACTGAATTCCTGAGCTCCGCAGCAGGATTGAACTCCAGTTCCCACGGTGGAAACCTGCCTCTTGGCATACCCCTTCGATGCTGCCTCCTTTGCCCCGCCTCCCTTTCCCTTTCCTCTGTTGGTGTTTACAGGGACTCACCTTTCAAATCAACTACTTTCTGTCTTCCTTGCTGAGGGTGTGCTCCTGGGGGAACCTAAACTCACACAGGATAGTTAGCTATTTCTTTGAGTACCAACTGAAGTTACTGGCTTCCATGAGGGTCTAAGCTATATGAAAAGTACATATCTTTATTTATTTTTGAGACAGAGTTTTGCCCTGTCACCCTTCACCTCCTGGGTTCAAGTGATTCTCTGTCTCCTGAGTAGCTGGGACTATAGACACACACCACCATACCTGGCTAATTTTTGTGTTTTTAGTAGAGATAGGGTTCTTGAGGTCACTTGAGGTCATGTTAGCCAAGCTGGTCTTGAACTCCTGACCACAAGTGATCCACTTTGCCTCAGCCTCCCAAAGTGCTGGGATTACAGTTGTGACCCAAGGTGCTTGGCCAGCATTGGCAATTTTTGGCTGTCTCTACAGAGACCGAACAATTAAAAAAAGGTCAAAGGATATAACAAAAGGTTCTCAGTGACATTGGTGAAGTCCCCTTTTGTCCCTGTCTCCAGCTATTCACCTTAGAACCACTCTGTCTTCTTGGTGGTTGTTCTTCTTGTTTTTTTTTTGAGACGGAGTTTCGCTCTTGTTACCCAGGCTGGAGTGCAATGGCGCGATCTCGGCTCACTGCAGCCTCCGCCTCCTGGGTTCAGGCAATTCTCCTGCCTCAGCCTCCTGAGTAGCTGGGATTACAGGCACGTGCCACCATGCCCAGCTAATTTTTTGTATTTTTAGTAGAGATGGGGTTTCACCATGTTGACCAGGTTGGTCTCGATCTCTCGACCTCGTGATCCACCCGCCTCGGCCTCCCAAAGTGCTGGGATTACAGGCTTGAGCCACCACGCCCGGCCCCGGATGTTCTTCTTGAGTTAATTTATGGGAATATGTAAAGCACGTCAGTGTCTTCAGATACAGGAATCACGTGCTTAATGCTGAGAAATTAGACAGATTGTGGGAACAGCAAATTCTCATCTTCCATCTCACACTCCAGACAGGACATAAACACTCCAAATCATTTTTTGCTCAGTGTGTATAATTAAGTCCTGATAAATGTGCATGAGATGCATCTCTACTATACAGATGTACAGAAAGGCTGGCCATGATCCAGCCTTGCCCTTCCCTCTCACGGTCTGCATGTCTCCCAAGAAGCACTGGGGTTCCTACCTTGCATCTCCCTGCGCAGTCAGGGTTGGGGGTGAGTAGATTCTTCTTTGGCCATTGGCCTCCCCCTTGAGACCATGTGTCTTTCTTGCTCTCTCAGGTCGGCAACCACATTGATGTGCTCACTGGCAAGTGGGTGGCCCAGGACGCGGGCATCGGGGCTGGTGTGGACTCCTACTTTGAGTATTTGGTGAAAGGAGCCATCCTGCTTCAGGATGAGAAGCTCATGGCCATGTTCCTAGGTAAAAAGGGCAGGGTAAGGGAGCTTTCCCCCTGATTTTTCTTGTTGATGTGTGGTTTGTTTATAAACTTTCTTTTTTTTTTTTTTTTTTTTTTTTTTTTTTGAGACAGAGTCTTGCTCTATCTCCCAAGCTGGATTATAGTGGCACAATCTTGGCTCACTGCAACCTCTGCCTCCTGGGTTCAAGCAATTCTCATGCCCCAGCCTCCTGAGTAGCTGGGACTACAGGTGCACACCACCATACCCAGCTAATTTTTGTATTTTTAGTAGAAATGGGTTTCATCATGTTGGCCAGGCTGGTCTCAAACTCTTGAGCTCAGGTGACCTGCCCGCCTCGGCCTCCCAAAGTGCTGGAATTACAGGCGTGCCCAGCCTGAGTGCCTGCAGAATCAGTTCTGAATACCCAAGGCTGCATTCAGAGCCACTGTGGACTTACGCTGCCTGCTTCATGCCTGCTATACCACTTCATGCCTTCTTGCAAGAGCCAACTGAAGGATGCGGCATTCTCTGTGTGTGGCCCTGGATTTCTTAACTCCTGGCCATTGCACATGGTGTCTTCTTTGCCTAGAATATCTTTTCTCCTATCTTCCTGTGGCCAAGTTCTTTTCACCCTTCAAAGCCTAGCTTAAATGTCACTTGCCTAGAAAGTAGCTTGATCCTTCTTCAGAATATAGGACCTTCAACATCTTTTTTGTAGTTAGCTTTCATCAATAGTTACAGCTTAGCCAGGTGTGGTGGCTCATGCCTGTAATACCAGCACTTTGGGAGGCCAAGGTGGGTGGATCACGAGATCAGACGTTCAAGACCAGCCTGGCCAACATGGTGAAACCCCGTCTCTACTAAAAATACAAAAAAATTAGCTGGGCATCGTGGTGTGCACCTGTAATCCCAGCTACTCGGGAGGCTGAGTCAGGAGAATCACTTGAATCCAGGAGGTGGAGTTTGCAGTGAGCAGAGATCAAGCCATTGCACTCCAGCCTGGGTGACAGAGCAAGACTCTGTCTCAAAAAAAAAAAAAAAAAACAGAGTTACAGCTCTGCCAATTGAGTATAGGATCTATGCCTTATTCATCTTATGTTTCCCACAGTGCTTTACATGTGGTAGGTAATAGATTAATGCCTGTTGAATAAATACATCTTACCCTCTAGGCCCGTAGACACTAGCAATATCAAGGAATAGTTGAACACCTAATGACTATGATTATTATAGCTGTGGTAGTCCCCTGTTATCCCCAGTTTTGATTTCCATGGTCAACTGCAGTCTGAAAATAGGTGAGTACAGTCAGATAAAATATTTTGAGGCTGGGTACAGTGGCTCACGCCTGTCATCCCAATGCTTTGGGCGGGAGGATTGCTTAAGGCCAGGAGTTTGAGACCAGCCTGGGCAATATAGCAAGACCCCATCTAAAAAAAAAAAAAAGATATTTTGAGAAACCAAATTCAGATAATTTCTTTGCTGTCTCTTACCGAAAAGACAAATTCACATAACTTCTATACCATGTATTGTTATAATTGTTCTGTTTTATTATTAGTTATTGTTCTTCATCTCTTCCCATTCCTAATTTATAAATTAAATTTTTTTGGCTGGGCACAGTGGCTCATGCCTGTAATCCCAGCGCTTTGGTAGGCTGCTGCAAGACAATTGCTTGACCCCAGGAGTTTGAGATCGGCCTGGGCAACATGGTGAGACCTTATCTCTACAAAAAAAAAAAAAAAAAAATTAGCTGGGCATGGTGGTGCATGCCTGTGGTCCCAGCTACTTGGAAGGCTGACTAAGGTGGAGGAGTGCTTAAGCCTGGGAGGTCGAGGGTGCAGTGAGCCATGATCATACCACTACACTTCAGCCTGAGTGACAGAGTAAGACCCTGTCTCAAAAATAAAAAATTTTTTGAACATTAATGAATTAAACTTTCTCATAGATATGTATGTATAGGAAAACAGTAGTCACGCGTTGCTTAGTGACAGGGATACGTTCTGAGAATTGCATCATTAGGTGATTTCATCATGTGCAAACATCATAGGGTGTACTTAAGCAAACCTAGAGGGTATAGCCGACTGCATACCAGGCTGTGTGGTGTAGCCTATTGCTACCAGGGTACAGACAGCATGTTACTCTGTACAGCATGTTACTCTACTGAATACTGTCGACAATTGTAATAGAATGGTAAGGATTTATGTATCTAACCACAGAAAAAGTACAGTACAAATACAGTGTAAAAGATAAAAAGTGGTCCACCTACCATGAGTGAAGTTTACAGGAGAGGAAGTTGCTCTGGGTGAGTCAGTGAGTGGCGAGTAAATGCCAAAGCCTGAGTCATTACACTGCTGTAAACTATAAATACTATACACGTAGGCTACACTAAATTTATTTAAATTTTTTTTCTTCCTCCAGTAATAATTTTTTTTTTTTTTTTTTTTTTGAAATTGAGTCTCCCTCTGTCGCCCAGGCTGGAGCGCAGTGGTGTGATCTTGGCTTACTGCAACCTCGCCTCCCAGGTTCAAGCAATTCTCCTGCCTCAGTCTTCTGAGTAACTGGGACTACAGGCACACACCACCACGCCTGGCTAATTTTTGTATTTTTAATAGAGACGGGGTTTCACCGTGTTGGCCAGGTTGGTCACAAACTCCTGACCTCAGGTGATCTCCACCCACCTCTGCCTCCCAAAGCACTGGGATTACAGGCATGAGCCACCGTGCCTGGCCTCCAATAATAGATTAATGTTAGCTTACTGTAACTTTTTTACTTTATAAACTTTAAAATTTTTAAACACTTTTGACTCATATGTAATAACTCTCAGCTTAAAACACATTATGGCCAGGCATGGTGGCTCATGCCTGTAATCTCAGCACTTTGGGAGGCCGAGATGGGCATATCACAAGGTCAGGAGATTGAAACCATCCTGGCCAACATGGTGAAATGCTGTCTCTACTGAAAATTAGCTGGGCATGGTGACACGTGCCTGTAGTCCCAGCTACTTGGGAGGTTGAGGCAGGAGAATTGTTTTGAACTCAGGAGGTGGAGGTTGCAGTGAGCTGAGATCGTGCCACTGCACTCCAGCCTGGAGACAGAGCAAGACTCTGTCTCAAAAAAAAGAAACACATTGTATAGCTATTCAGAAATATTTTTTAATATCCTTATTCGCTGAGCTTTTTTCTACTTTTATTTTGTTTTTACCTTTTAAACTTTTTTGTTAAAAACTAAGATTCAAACATGCATTAGCCTAGGCCTACACAGGGTCAAGATCATCAGTGTCACTGTCTTCCACTCCCCCATGTTGTCCTACTAGAAGGTCTTCCGGGGAAGTAACACTCAGAGAGCTGTCATCTCCTGTGATAACAGTGCCTTCTGGAATTCCTCAAAGGACCTGCCTGAAGCTGTTCACAGTTGACCTTTTCTATATAAGTGGAAGGAGTACTCTAATGATGAAAGGATAGTATAATAAATACATAAACCAATAATTAGTTGTTTATTATCAAATATCATGTACTGTATATAATCGTGTATGCTATACTTTTATGACTGGCAGCACAGATTTGTTTTTTGAGACGGAGTTTCGCTCTTGTTACCCAGGCTGGAGTGCAATGGCGCGATCTCGGCTCACCGCAACCTCCACCTCCTGGGTTCAGGCAACTCTCCTGCCTCAGCCTCCTGAGTAGCTGGGATTACAGGCACGCGCCACCATGCCCAGCTAATTTTTTGTATTTTAGTAGAGACGGGGTTTCACCATGTTGACCAGGTTGGTCTCGATCTCTCGACCTCGTGATCCACCCGCCTCGGCCTATCAAAGTGCTGGGATTACAGGCTTGAGCCACCGCACCCGGCCTGCTCTATTATAATCTTACAGGACCTAATATCACAAGGTCAGGAGATTGAAACCATCCTGGCCAACATGGTGAAATGCTGTCTCTACTGAAGATTAGCTGGGCATGATGATGAAAGAATACTATAATAAATACATAAACATACAGTTCAGAGTTGACCGGTATGTTGTTATGTGGCGCATGACTGTATACAGAGTTGATTTAGTACTGTCCATGGTTTCAGACATCCACTGAGGGTCTTGGAAAGTATTCCCCTCAAATAAGGGGAGACTAGTATACTCATTTATTCAAAAAATACTTCTTGAATACCATGGATGTGGCAAGCCATGTGCCAACCTCCGAACATGGACTGCTTCATATCATCCTTACAACTCTTGTTATCTTATTTATTTGCATGTGTATTTGATACTTTGTTCATTCAGAAAATGTTTATTGCTTGTACTAGTGTGGGGGATTCTGCAAGGAACAAAACAAAGTCCCAGGTCTCATGGATTTACAATCTAGGGGAGAGATAAGAGGGATAAATTCAAGTTCCCACTAGAATGTAAGTTCTCTGAGGGCTGGACTTTGTCTTGTTTACAACCATATAGGTGCTTGGTACCTAGTAGGTGCTCAGCAAATGTTCGTTGTATAAATCCCACAGCTGCATAACATTACTGTGCTAGTCCATTTTCATGCTGCTGATAAAGACACAGTCAAGGCTGGGTAATTTATAAAGAAAAAGAAGTTTAATGGACTCACAGTTCCACATGACTGGGGAGGCCTCACAATCATGGCAGAGGTGAAAGGCACATCTTATGTGGTGGCAGGCAAGAGAGAATGAGAGCCAAGTGAAAGGGGTTTCCCCTGATAAAACCATCAGATCTCATGAGACTTACTCACTACCACGAGAATTGTATGGGGGAGACCACCACCATGATTCAGTTATCTCCCACCAGGTCCCTTCTACAACACATGGGAATTATGGGACCTACAATTCAAGATGAGATGTAGGTGGGGACACAACCAAACATATTAATTACTTTCCCCATTTTATAGATAATAGGGCTGTGGCTTATAAGGGAAAAACCTGCCCCAGGTCAGGGCTAGCAAGTGGTAGAGCTGAAGATCCAGGAATTTGAGCCTGGAAATTTGACTCCAGAATCCATGCTCCTTTCTAGTCACCTTGCCTCATTGCATCCTGGCACTCTTTCAAAAGTATAAGTCCTCACTTCTGCTATCCAGGCCTGCCTTTTGTCCATGCCTCTCCCTAATCACTCATTTGTCCATGATCTCATCTCCCCAACTGCAGAGTATAACAAAGCCATCCGGAACTACACCCGCTTCGATGACTGGTACCTGTGGGTGCAGATGTACAAGGGGACTGTGTCCATGCCAGTCTTCCAGTCCCTGGAGGCCTACTGGCCTGGTCTTCAGGTAGGAATGATCAAAAAATGTGGATCTGGCAAAGCAAGCTCATTTTGATGTTTAAGTCAAATAAGATATTTTGTGAGTTGCTTGAGTACTCTTTCTGGAGGGACAGGTTGAGGATGGGAGAGAGACCTAGAATGAATTAGATTTAGAGTTCTGCCAAATTGAGTGTCAGGAACCGAGCTTCCAGTTTGCCATGGAATGTCGTAGTCCTTAAAAGTTCACAATACATTTCCAGTCTGGGCAGGAACAGCCATTGGCAACGGCTGTTTCTCCACTGGGCATTTCTGTCCGAGCTTGACAATGGGCCTCAGGAAGGGCGGGAAGCAGCTCATGCCGCTCTGCCATCTTGTTATTTTCCCATTACATGGTCTGATAGAGTTGCAGCCAGAAGAATCTTAGAGCTCATCTAATCTACTCCCTTTGGTGTTCCAAAACAGTGCATGTACCAAAATGTTCTTATAATCTAGATTTTTTAAAATTTTAAGAAAAAGTAGTCCCACCTGGGCAACATAGCAAGACCTCATCTCTACAAAAAAATCAAAAATTAGCTGAGTGTGGTGGCACATGCCTGTAGTCCCAGCTACAGGAGAGACTGCAGTGAAAGGATTGCTTGAGCCCAGGAGATCAAGGCTGCAGTGAACCATGATCACACCACTGCAGCCTGGGCAACAGAGTGAGACCCTGCCTCAAAAAAAAAAAAACCAAAAAAACAAAATGACCACCAGATTTCTATCCAGAATAACCGGCTAGACATTATGTCATTTACCAAGAAGGGAAAAAGGCCAGAGTAGGAAGACAACTTTGTGGGAAAGCAGGGGAACCAAGAAATTTGTTTAGGAGATGCCAAGTTTGTTCTGTCCATGAGACATCCAGTGAAGATGTCAAGGTCACCTGCTTCCTTGTTAGATTACATTAGTAGTAATGGCTGCTTAGCAATAGCTGGTAAAATTATGGATGCATATATACTTTGACCCAGAGATCCTAATTCTGAAAATGTCCCTTACATACAACACTTTACATCTGTTTGATGTGACATATATACAGATTTATTGCCACATTAGTTGTTGGAACCAAGTCAAATAAAAATATCTGAAAGCCAAATTTCTGAATCTGAAAATATGGAGATAATTAATATCCCTATTAATAAGAAACCAAAGGCTATTTTTTAGTGTTGGGAAAATAACATCTACTCATGCATAAAGAAACTCTGGAAAATTATACAAGACACCAGTAATGGTTATCTGAGGCAGGGCATAATGGGTCATGCTTGTAATCCCAGCCCATTGGGAGGCTGAGGTAGGTAGATCACTTGAGCCCAGGAGTTTGAGGCTAACCGAGCAACAAAGTGAGAACCCCCCCATCTCTTCAGAAAATAAAAAAATTAGCCAGGAGTTGTGGAGTGTACCTGTGGTCCCAGCTACATGGGAGGCTGAGGTAGGAGGATCTCTTAAACCTAGGAGGTCAAGGCTGCAGTGAATCATAACTGTGCCATTGCACTCCAGCCTGGGTGACAGAGCCAGACCCTGTCTCCAAAACAAAAATGGTTATCTGTTAGGGGTGTGGTGTGGGAGTGAGACTTAGGACAAACTTTTCCCTATTCTTAGAATTTTGAACTAGCTGGCTGAATTCTAAAACTTAATAGCTGACATTTACTCAGAAGATTTAGGGACTTAATATACAATCTGTGTTCCTTCCAACAACGTATGAGATAGGTGGTGTATTTCACGTCTCATAGATAAGGCTCAGCGAAGTCCAGTGCCTTGCTCAGCACCACACTGAGTAACTGGCAGACTCAGGGATTAATTCAAGGCCTTTTTGGCCCCACAGATTTTACTTTGTCTTTTCTTGAGGTTGTCTGTGGGTTTTATTTTTTTTAGACAGAGTTTCACTCTTGTTGCCCGGGCTGGAATGCAGTGATGTGATCTCGGCTTATCGCAACTTCTGCCTCTTGGGTTCAAGTGATTCTTCTGCCTCAGCCTCCTGAGTAGCTAGGATTACAGACCTGCACCACCACACCCAGCGAGTTTTTGTATTTTTAGTAGAGACGGGGTTTCTCCATGTTGGTCAGGCTGGTCTCAAACTCCTGACCTCAGGTGATCCACCCACCTCGGCCTCCCAAAGTGCTGGGATTACAGGCGTGAGCCACCGCACCCGGCCTGTCTCTGGGATTTTATGCCTGCTGTCTACCTGCCTGACAGCCACTTTCTCCCACAGAGCCTCATTGGAGACATTGACAATGCCATGAGGACCTTCCTCAACTACTACACCGTATGGAAGCAGTTTGGGGGGCTCCCAGAATTCTACAACATTCCTCAGGGATATACAGTGGAGAAGCGAGAGGGCTACCCGCTTCGGCCAGGTGAGCAGCATTTCTGGCTCTCGTCATCATCTGCCTGCAGGCTCTGGTCCCTGAAACCCCAAACCCTCTCTACAAGGCTTCATGCTCCACAACTGCTCATAAGTTCATGTTTTTCCCCCTTTCTGTTCCTTCCAGTGGCTCTGGGTGGTTTTCTTACTAGGAGTTAATTATCCTTGTGTTTTCAGATATGGAAACTGAGGCCTAGTGGGATGAAATGGCTTGCCCCTGGCTCTTAAGTGCAGGAGCTAGGCTCCTAACTAAATCCTATGCTCTTTCAAATCAGGAAATGAGTGAGAAGGAAAAGGCCAAGGTTGACTCCTTTTGATCTCCTGCCATCAGGATTCCAGAAGTGTAGGCAAACTTCCTTAGGCCGTGGGTCAGATAAATTATGCTTACATGTATGGAATGTTAGAACTTTGGACAGGCCTTAGGAATTACCTAGTCTCTTCCACCTCCCCCTTTACATCTCAGAATCAAGCAAAGGACTATACATGAAACACTGTCTTATATTCCTTTCTAGCCCCGATGCCCTCTGATTCACTTCAGGGAAGCTGAAAATTGTGAGGAGGGGAAGAAAAAGGGGGACAAAGGAAGGAAGCTTAGTCAGCACACATAGTCATCCCCTCACCCTAAAACGGGCCATGAGCCCATTTTTTTACACATTTCTCACTTTCCCACCTGAATTGCCTTTTAGCCATGGGACAGGCCTTCCTAGTGGCTTCTGCTTATCCTGCCTTCCCCTACCCCATTTCCTTCCTCTTCTAACTCAAGTGATTATTGTAGGAGGTGTGGAGGGGACCAGGAGAGGGAGTAAACAGCACATTAGTCACTTTTCTCTCCTTAGAGGCCACTGTTCTTGGTGTTTCCCATGTATTTGTTCTAATGGCATGTTTTTAAAACCAGAAACTCAGGCCAGGCCTGGTGGCTCACACCTGTAATCCCAGCACTTTGAGAGGCCAAGGTGGGCAGATTACCTGAGGTCAGGAGTTGAAGACTTCCTCACCAATATGGTTAAACCCTGTCTCTACTAAAAATACAAAAATTAGTCAGGCAGGGTGGCAGATGCCTGTAGTCCCAGCTACTTGGGAGGCCAAGACAGGAGAATTGCTTGAACCTGGAAGATGGAGCTTGCAGTGAGCCGAGATCGCACCACTGCACTCCAGCCTGGGTGACAGAGGGAGATTCTGTCTCAAAAAAAAAAAAAAATGAAAAGAAGAAAAGGAAAGTCCAGGAAGGGACAGGTTGTCTGCATGTGTCACAGAGGCATATAAACTTAACCCAAGGAGCCTGGCCTTTATAAATAAATAAGTAAAAATAAGGCACCGCTGTCAGGAATCCAGGAGTCATCCTTTCTACCCCAAACAATGACAAATAGGAGATAAGGACTACTCTTTCACTGGATTGGCCAGAGCCTTATACTCTCATATGTTTCTGATCAGCGGTGTTGGAGCACAGAGCCTGGCCTAAAGGCTTCTGTAGGCTTTTACTTCTAATTCCAAATCTAAACTTCAGGCTGTCGCCTCCCTCTAGAGCAGGGATCCCCAACTCTCAGGCCATGCACCAATACCAGTCTGTAGCCTGTTAGAAACCAGGTCTTGTCAGGTGCAGTGGCTCACGGCAATAATCCCAGTGCTTTGGGAGGCTGAGGCGGGTAGATCACGAGGGCAAGAGTTCAAGACCAGCCTGACCAACATAGTGAAACCCCATCTCTACTAAAAATACAAAAAATTAATCAGGCATGGTGGCACACCCTGTAATCCCACCTACTCAGGAGGCTGAGGCAGGAGGATCGCTTGAACCCAGGAGATGAAGGTTGCAGTGAGCCGAGACGGCACCACTGCAGTCCAGCCTGGGTGACAGAGTGAGACTCCATCTCAAAAAAACAAAGAAAAAAGAAACTAGGTCACACAGCAGGAGGTGAGCAGCCCATGAGTGAGTGAGCTTCATCTGTATTTACAGCCGCTCCTCATCGCTCGAGTTGCTGCCTGAGATCCACCTCCTGTCAGGTCAGCCGTGGCATTAGATGCTCATAGGAGCAAGAACCGTATTGTGAACTGCGCATTTGAGACATCTAGGTTACATGCTCCTTATCAGAAGCTAATGCCTGACGATCTCTCAGTATCTCCCATATCTCCATCACCCCTAGATGAGCTTGCAGGAAAACAAGCTCAGGGCTCTTAATGATTCTACATTATGGTGGATTGTATAATTATTTCATTGTATATTACAATGTAATAATAATATAAAGTACACGATAAATGTAATGCACTTGAATTATCCCAAAACCATCCCCTACAACCCTAGTTCATGGAAAAATTGTCTTCCATGACACTGGTCCCTGGTGCCAAAAAGGTTGGGGACCACTGCTCTACAGAGTTGGTCAGATGCACAGGAAAGAGTGAAGCAGTAACTAACATACTCATGCATGAGGAGAGAAGCACCATGGCTGGGCATGGGGCTCTGGCCCCAGCAGCTGCTAGAAGCAGAAGAGGGCTGGGTGCAGTGGCTCATGTTTGTAATCCCAGCACTTTGGAAGGTCAAGGCGGGTGAATCAACTGAGGTCAGGAGTTCGAGACCAGCTTGACAATGTGGCAAAACCCCATCTCTACTAAAAATACAAAAATTAGCTAGGCATAGTCATGGGCACCTGCAATCCTAGCTACTCAGGAGGCTGAGACAGGAGAATTGCTTGAATCCGGGAGGTGGAGGTTGCAGTGAGCCAAGATCGTGCCACTGCACTCCAGCCTGGGTGACAGAGTGAGACTCCATCTCAAAAAAACAAACAAAAAGAAGAGGAGGCCTCCCGTGAGAGCACTGTCTTTTCTGCCTTTGAACACACAGAATGTGTTCATCTAGCAGTGAGTGTGCCCTAGTCTGTGCCTTAGAATATGAGCAATTAGATTAGCAATTGTCTAGAGGTCTGTAAGGGGAGAAGAGGAGGAAGTAAGAGAGAACTGGGGAGATAGGCAGAGACCTTTTCTCTAAAATGAGAACTAGAGGCTGGGTGCGTGCAGTGACTCACGCCTATAATTTCAGCACTTTAGGAGGCCAAGGCAGGCCTTGAGGTCAGGAGTTTGAGACAAGCCTGGCCAACATGACGAAACTCTGTCTCCACTAAAAATACAAAAATTAGCCAGGACCGTAATCCCAACTACTTGGGAGGTTGAGGCATGAGAATTGCTTGAATGTGGGTGGTGGAGATTGCAGTGAGTGGAGATTGTACCACAGCACTCCAGCCTGGGTGACAGAGCGAGAGTCTGTCACAAAAAATAATAATAAATAAAATAAAAACTAGAGTTTGCAGCAATAAACCAAAAGGGAGAGAAGCACTGATCAAGCCCAGGGGTAAACAGAACAGAAGATTGCGGGAGACGATGGTATAGAAAGGGGACAGGGGTTCTTCTCTCTTAGAAAAGGTGGATAAGGTAGAAAGCATATTGAGCTGAAGTCACCCTTGAAGTCAGGTCTACAAAAGTTCTTCAGGTATTTGAAAGCAATAAACACATTTTCCTGGATTTTCTTTTCTCTAGAATAAATATTCTCATCTGGACCCATTCCTGTTGGCTATCACTCATCTTAAGATAGAGCTCATGTCTTAACAGCAAGTTCCAGTTGAGCAAGACAAAACATCATTTTCTTCTGGGCATAGTGAACTGACGACTACATCTTTGTTAGACTGATGTTTTGGTGTTTTTTGTTGTTGTTTGTTCATTTGTTTGCTTTGAGATAAGGTCTCACTCTGTCAACCAGGCTGACGTGCTGCAGTGGCTCGCTCACACCTCACTGCAGCCTCAAACTCCTGGGCTCAAGTGATCCCCCTACCTCAGCCTCCTGAGTAGCTGGGACTACAGATGCATGCCACACCCAGCTAATTATTTTTATTTTTTGTAGAGGCAAGATCTCGCTATGTTGCCCAGGCTGGCCTCAAACTCCTGGGCTCACACGATCGTCTCCCCTTGGCCTCCCAAAGCGGTGGAATTACTGGCATGAACCACCGTGCCTGGCCTGCTGTTGGTTCTTAGCCTTCATCTTTTGGCCTATCCTATCTCAGAAAGAGCCTTATGATGCCCGGCTCTTACTCTTCTTTTGAGTTTTAGAATTAGGTTAGACTCTGAGTGACAGAAAAAAAAAAGTACTTAATTAGGATAGAAATTTTTTCTCTCACGTTCTGAGCCTATATGGCTCGCCATGGTGTCCTTAATCCCACCTAGCTGTTAGAATAATTGCTGGCATTGGCAGCCAGGCAGCCTGTGTTTAGCTGAAGTTTGGAATTCTGCGACTAAGGAGAAAACGGGGAACAGATATTGGGAAATGGGAAACAGCCTCTGCCACCTTCTCTACCCCAGATCCTGGCTACCTTTCTCTCCCTTAGGGTGGGAATCACTGGTCAGCCTGAATGCTGGTCTCTGCTGAGCTTCACGCTTTGGGTATACTGGCTCTGAAATTCAGCATTGGATGAGGTATCCTGTGTTCCTACTAGTTGGGGCCTTATGGACAAGCTATGGAGGAGAGTAGTCCCTCACTGCCCTAAGAGGCCCCAGGCCATCCCTGTGCAGCCACTGAGTGAGGAGGGTCTGCTTTGGACTTTGCAGAACTCATTGAAAGCGCAATGTACCTCTACCGTGCCACGGGGGATCCCACCCTCCTAGAACTTGGAAGAGATGCTGTGGAATCCATTGAAAAAATCAGCAAGGTGGAGTGCGGATTTGCAACAGTAAGTGTCTTCATGGCCCCAAGAACTGGGAAGTTTTCCCATTGCTGCTAAAAAGCCTCTTCAGGAGTAGAGCTTTGGGAGTTCTGATGTATCGGCATTAGAAGGGACCTTGGAGATAGACATTATGCCTGTATTTTACAGATGGGGAGACCAAAGAACAGAGACGCTAAGTGCCTTGCTAAAGATCTCACAGCTAGCAGAGGTAGAGCTAAGATTGGTTCCTCAGGATCTTGACCCAGGCCCTTGCCATTCCTCCCACATCAGAGATCCTTGATCTGTTTGAATTGTTGACTTTGAAAAGGTGAGTTTTGTAAAAGGTTTTGTTAGGGAAATCCAGAGTCCCATAGCCCTATATTCAGACCTGGGACTCCTTAACAAAGCAGTCCTACTTAGTCTTGCAGATATTTATTGAATGTCTTTCACATGCCAGGCACTCTGCTAGCCCAAGGGTTATAGCAGTGACCCTGCTCTCACAGAGCTTACATTTTAATGAGAAAAAAACCATGAATGTGTGTCCTGTAGACAGAAGGCCAGTGTGGCTGGAGTGGAGTAAGCAAGGAGAAAAGTGAGAAGAGATGAGGTCCCAGAGGTAGGCAGGGGCTAGATCACACAGGGCTTTGTGTAAGCCACAGGAAAGAGTTTGGCTTTTTTTCTCCTTGGAATGTGAAGCCTTGGTAGGATTTACGGCAGAGTAGTGACATGATCTGATTTGTGTTTTAGAAAGATCGCTCTGGCTGCTCTGTGGAGAATAGATTGAAAGGTCAAAGGTGAGAGTTATCTCACATCCATATAGGACCCAAGCAGGCAAGATATAAATAACCATTACGGATATAGAAGGAAATGGTCTGGAAGAAAACTCCCCGGAAAGCCTACAGAGTTGGGGTTGGGGTGTGGAATTCAAAACTACAACAAAAAACTTATTTTGCTCTTGGAGTATGTTTGAATTAGAATTAAAAAAAAAACAAAAAACTTATTTTACAAAATAATGTGATTGTATTCTATAAGTAAAATATAGATAAGTGTAGGGGAAGAGAGAAGACCTGCATGTGGAGGGGCAAAAATAAAGCCCTGATATGATTTGGTTTCTAATATGCTGTATTGTGTGAAAAACCAAAATGACAAGCCTACTGGGGTTTTCCTGGGAATGCCGGGCTCATTTCCATGAATGTGAAGCCCTTTGGAGGTCTTCCATGGTGACGGGAACAGGCATCTGACCTTTGTCAAACAGGGCAAGAAAATAGTAGTCTTGATATGTCAAGACCATATTTGAGTCATATTTTTAAATGTAAGATAAAGTCCACTGAGAATGTTTTGTTTAAAAGCATTACTAATTCTGAGAAGCTAAAATAAATGTTTGTAGCAAGTAATCTTAGTCATCCATGCCTGAAAACTCAGCTGAAATTCTCTAAATAAGACTCCTTACTAAAACAATGTCAATGGTTTTCATCCACAGCAGTTGATCTAGTTAGTAAGTGTCGATACTTTGGGTCTGAATGGAGGGGAAAAAAAAGACTCCTTATTAGTTGCTTACAAAAACTTGGGAATCACCTGAATGCCCTTCCAGGGAGGTAGCTAAGTAAATGGTGATACATTTTCACAGTGGAATGCTGTGCCATCATTAAAAGGGACAATTAGCTTTATGTTTATAGTCACAAAAAGGCTGGATAAACGAGATAGGATATTGTCCTGTCATAGGGGAAGGTTATTGGAGACCTTTCTGGTGAGGAAGCCTTTGAGCAGAGACTCGAAGGAAGGGAGGGAGCAAGCTGTGAGGAAAACGAGGCAGAGTGCTCCAGGCTGAAAGAAACCACAGATGCAAAGAACCCGAGGCAGGAGTATGTGCTAGCTCAGGACAGAAAGGCAGCAGCTGGAGCTCTTGGAGAGGTAAGAGGTGAGGGCAGGGAGGGAGGGAGCAGGGACCAGGTCATGACTTCCATTTTTATCCTGCATGAAATGGAGGGTAGTAAATAAGTAAGTAAGTAAGTAAATAAACTGTAAGGCTAAGGATGGAAGCTGGGAGCCTACTGGGAGGCCGACAGGATAATCCAGGTGAGAGATGATGGTGGCTTGGGAAAGAGTGAAGGCCTGAAAGTTTCAGTGATTTGCTCACAAGCCCTCAGCTGCTTAGAGGCAGAACAGGAACTCTTAAAGGATTGTCTGCCCCTTGCTACCAAATGGTGATGCTGTTCCAACTTGCTTCCTTCTCCCACGTGTCAGATCAAAGATCTGCGAGACCACAAGCTGGACAACCGCATGGAGTCGTTCTTCCTGGCCGAGACCGTGAAATACCTCTACCTTTTGTTTGACCCAACCAACTTCATCCACAACAATGGCTCTACCTTCGACGCGGTGATCACCCCCTATGGGGAGTGCATCCTGGGGGCTGGGGGGTACATCTTCAACACAGAAGCTCACCCCATTGACCCTGCCGCCCTGCACTGCTGCCGGAGGCTGAAAGAAGAGCAGTGGGAGGTGGAGGACTTGATGAGGGAATTCTACTCTCTCAAACGGAACAGGTCAAAATTTCAGAAGAAGACTGTGAGTTCGGGGCCATGGGAACCCCCAGCAGGGCCAGGAACACTCTTCTCACCTGAAAACCATGACCAGGCAAGGGAGAGGAAACCTGCCAAACAGAAGGTCCCGCTTCTCAGCTGCCCCAGTCAGCCCTTCACCTCCAAATTGGCATTACTGGGACAGGTTTTCCTAGACTCCTCGTAACCATTGGATAATTTTTTTATTTTTATTTTTTTGAGACTAAATAATAAATCTGCTTTTGGCTATCATGTTTTGGTTGTCATGTTTTACATATTGGGCTATTTTATGAGGTTTCATTCAAAGAAAGGATTGGTGGCTATGGGCAATTGTGAATCTAGTTAATTTCCTCATGCAGATGGAGAAACGGGGGCTCCAAAGATCCCAGGGTCCATAGTTGAATCTCCCTTCCTTTTCTGGTGTCTTTCGGGAAAGTGTTGTCATAAATGTATTTCTTAGTTCTTGCTCTAACCTGTGCTTCTTTTTTTCATATTTAAATTTTTTTTTTCTTTAGAAACAGGGTTTCACCATGTTGGCCAGGCTGGTCTTGAACCCCTGACCTCAGGTGATCCGCCTGCCTCAGCCTCCCAAAGTGCTGGGATTACAGGCATGAGCCACCATACCTGGCCACTTCTTGCTTTTTAGTTGACCCATCTATCCACCTGTCCTTCCATGCAACAAAGATTTATTAAGCACCTCTTTTCTTTTGAGACAGGGTCTCCCTCTGTCACCAAGGTTGGACTGTAGTGGCATGATCATGGCTCACTGCAGCCTCGACCTCCCAGGCTCAAGTGATCCTCCGATCTCAGCCTCTGGAGTAGCTGAGACCACAGGCACACACCACTCCGACTTGCCTGATTTTTAAAAAATGTTTTGTAGAGGTGGGGTCTCCCTGTGTTGCCTAGGCTGATTTCAAACTCCTGGGCTCAAACAATCCCCCGATCTCAGCGTCCTGAGTAATTGGGATTACAGGAGTGAGCCGTGGTGCTGGGCAGGCACCTTTGTGTACCAGTCCCAGCCCCAGAGGTTCAGCAGTGGACAAGGCAAACCGTTTTTATTCTTGTGGAAATTAAATTTCTAGCAGAAAGAAATAACCTAGTAAGTAGATAAAATAACATTGTGATCAGTTCTGTGAAGAAAATAGGGGGCTGTGCTAGAAAATAATGGCGAAAGATAAGTTGCTTTAGATAGGGTAGGTGGAAAAGGCTTCCCTGAGGAGGCGAGCTTTTAAACCTTAATTATGTAAAATTTTATTTTCTTTTAACTTTAAATTTTTCTTTTCATTTTTGTAAACATTAGAGATGGGGTCTTGCTTCGTTGCCCAGGCTGGTCTGGAATTCCTGGGCTCAAGCAATCCTACCTTAGCCTCCTAAAGTGCTGGGATTACAGGCATGAACCACTGTGCCTGGTCATAAATTTTTTTTTTTTTTTTTTTTTTTTTGAGACAAGGTCTCACCCTGTTGCCCATCCTGTGCAGTGGCACAATCACGGCTCACTGCAAGCCCTCACCTCCTGGGCTCAAGTGATCCTCCCACCTAAGCCTCCCAAGTAGCTGGGACAGCAGGAGCATGCCACCATGCCTGGCTAATTGTTCTAATTTTTGTATTTTTTGTTGAGATGGGGTTTTGCCACATCACCCAGGCTGATCTCAAACTCCTGAGCTCAAGTATTTTGCCTGCCTTGGCCTCCCAAAGTGCTGGGAGGCATGAGCCACCATGTATGGCCAGGCTGTACAATTTTATTTTATTCTATCTTATTATTTATTTAGAGACAAGATCTCACTTACGCCCTGGCTAGAGTGAAGTGCGGTGATCTGAGCTCACTGAACCTTCCATCTTCCAGGCTCAAGCGATCCTCCCAAGTAGCTGAGACCACAGATGCATGTCACCATGCCTGGCCAAGTAAAAATTTTATATAAACAAAAGTGGAGAGAACAGGACAGCAATCCCTTGTATGCTCATCACCCAGTTTCAACAAACTAGCTTCAAAGATGGTACACTCATGGCCAACCTTATTTCATTTACATTCACACTAGATTATTTGGGATTCCAAATATTTTATTCTTAAAAGTATTTCAGAATGCATCTCCAAAGTATGCCTGTAGAAATCAATAATCATTCCTTGGTATCCTCTCCAATTAATGTTCAAATGTTTTGTTTCATAACTTTGTATTATAGTTTGTTTGAATCAGGACCCACATAGGGTTGATTTATATATGTGAAATTTGATTATATGTCTCTGAAGTATCTTTTATAGGAGTTCTTTCCCTCTCCCTCCCTCCCTGCCTCCCTCCTTCCCTCCCTTCCCACTCCTCCTCTATTTTCATTGCACTTTGTTTAAGACAACAGTTGTATGCCTTAGAGATTTCCCATATTATGGATTTTTTTAATTGCATCTCTGAGATATTTATTATAATAGCTGTTTTTTAAAGTTGATATTAAGACCTAGAGGCATCATCAGATTTGGATTTTTACTTTTGTTTTTATTTGTGTATTTATTCTGAGACAGGGTCTTACCCTGTCACCCAGTGGCATGATCACAGTTCACTGCAGCCTCAGCCTCCCAGGCTCAAGTGATTCTCCTGCCTCAGCCTCCCAAGCAGCTGGGAGTACAGGTTCACACCACCATGCCTGGTAATTTTAAAAATTTTTGTTTAGTTGGGGTCCCACATGTTGCCTAGGCTGGTTTTTTTTTTTTCCTCTAAGAATGGTTCATAAGCACTGTTGTTTCTTTCAGTCAAGAGACACATGATGTCTGCTTGTCTGTTACTAATAGCCATTTGGTGATCATTGCTTAGATTCATTATTTCAACAGGGGTTTCAAAATAAATTTTAATTAGGCTAGACTACTTCTCTGTTTTTTTTCTTTTTTTGGAGATGAAGTTTTGTTCTTGGTGCCCAGGCCAGAGTGCAATGGCTTGATCTTGGCTCACTGCAACCTCCACCTCTGAGTTCAAGCAACTCTCCTGCCTCAGCCTCCCAAGTACCTGGGATTACAGGCATGCGCCACCACACCCAGCTAATTTTACATTTTTAGTAGAGACAGGGTTTCACCATTTTTGGTCAGGCTGGTCTCAAACTTCCGACCTCAGGCAATCCACCTACCACAGTCTCCCAAAGTGCTGGGAATATAGGCATGAGCCACTGCGCCTGGCCAAGCTAGACTGCTTCTCTAAAGAAAGACTTCTCTCATCAACTCTTTGGATTCCTTGCGGTAGAGTTTATTCAATTCATTCAAGTATTTGATTCTTTTTTTTTTTTTTGAGACAGAGTCTCGCTGTGTCACCAGGCGCCAGGCCGGAGTGCAGTGGCGCAATCTCGGCTCACTGCAACCTCCTCTTCCTGGGTTCAAGCGATTCTCCTGCCTCAGCCTCCCAAGTAGCTGGGATTAGAGGCACGTGCCACCATGCCCAGCTAATTTTTATATTTTTTAGTAGAGACAGGGTTTGGACATGGTCTCGATCTCTTGACCTTGTGATCAACCCGCCTCGGCCTCCCAAAGTGCTGGGATTACAGGCGTGAGCCACCGCGCCCGGCCTCAAATATTTGATTCTTAACTTTTATTTTTTATTTTCCAGAATAGTGCGTTGTTTCCCTAGCATCCTCCAATGGTGACAATGAAGGTTTGCTTTGTTTTTTTTTTTTTTTAAGTATTGTGAACTCTTGGATTTAAACTCATTTGATGATTTTCAGTTCGTTGAAATTATTTTCTTATCAAAGCTCAAATTGTCCCATTTATGGCCAGTGGAAGCCTCTCTTCAAGTTAGCCCTGAGTCCTGTTAACACAACCCCAGTAGTCTTTGATAGCATCCTAGCTTTCTGGTATTACACGTTGTTCCAACCTCTGCTGATCTCGTTTCTATTGAAACCCTGAATCAACTGTTTCTCTAAATAGCTCAGGAGGTAACTTTTTTTTTTTTTAGACTAGTCAAGTGCAGTAGTGAGAAGGGAGGTAACTTTTAATCAGGAATTTGTCTGGCTTTATCTGCCAACCTCATCTTTGCCCATGAACCTTGGCTAATTCAGCTGCTCATCATTTTCTTCCATACCATGGCAAACCTCTGTTGCTACCTTGATAGGCAGGGATATACCTCCTGCCTTCTCTTCTATTACTATGCCTCAAATAGAGACCCAGGCCTACACATAGTTCCCCATAATATAGACAAGAACTGCTATGACTTTAAACAAGACTTGACTGAAAGCCGAGGCATAATGGAAGGAAATTACATCATTTACTAGCTAACAGCTGCTCTTAGAACCACGGTCCACTCCATTATTCAGGTTTCTTTGTGGCCAAGGCCAGCTCATCCAAACACCCAGGGATACCCTTGGTCATCGATCAACACCCCAGATTCCAGGCCAGATCAGAGAGAGGAAAGAAAGTCCCTTCCTAAACCCCACTCTTTCCTAACTTAGAAAGTTTGTACTTTTCTATGAATTAATTGGCATGAAGTTGTCCTGTCATTTTTTGTTCCTTTTTTTTTTTTTTTTGAGAAAAGGTCTTGCTCTGTTGCCCAGGTTGGAGTACAGTGGCATGATCATGACTCACTGCAGCCTTGACCTCCCACACTCAAGCAATCCTCCTGCCTCAGCCTTCCAAGTAGCTGGTACTCCAGGTGTGCACCATCACACCTGGCTAATTAAAACATTTTTGTGGGGGCCACGGTGGCTCCGGCCAGTTGTCCTGGCGCTTTAGGAGGCGAGGCCATGAGTTCAAGGCCAACCTGAGCAACGTTACATGCTCTCATTGATTGAGATAGATAGATGGATGGATGGATGGATGGATGGATGGATGGATGGATGGATGGATAGATGGATGGATGGATAGATGGATAGATGGATGGATAGATAGATAGATAGATAGATAGATAGATAGATAGATAGATAGATAGATAAAACATTTTTGTGTGTGGAGACAGGGTTTGCCCAGAATGGTCTCAAACTCCTGGCATCCAAATTGTCCTCCTGCCTTAGCCACCCAAAGTGCTGGGAGTACAGGTGTGAGCCACCATGCCTGGCCTGTTTTTTAATAGTTAATATTAAAAATGTCTTTTCTTTTTCTTGATTAGTCTTGCCAGAGATTTCTCATTTTATTACTCTTTTTGAAGAACAAACTTGGGACTGACTTGTTGCTGTCAAGTGTATGTTTGTCTACTGTGCTAATTTCTGCTTTGATCTTATTTCCTTCCTTCCTTCTGCTTTCTTTGAGTCTGCTGGAATTGCTTATTACTGTGGCATAATCTAGTGTGTAG